CTCCAATTTACATAACTCCTTGGGAAATGAGATGATGGCTAGGATCCCTTCAGCTATTTCCCAAGCCAGAGAGCTACCAGTGTATGTAGATAAGATTATCTTCTTTGTCAACAAAATATGCTCAGGGTGTTTATCCATTTAACCTGAGGTTGAAAGTCTGCCATTCTATTCCGGCAGCCAATCCCTTGATTGTCCGCAATCACCATCTATGTCTTTTGCACCTTTTGCACCTTTGTCTCACATGGAACCAGACACTTGAGTTAGGGTGCCTCCAGACAGCACAAAAATGCAGGTTTAAAATGGGTGTTAAAAAATTCCGGGACCTGACTGCAGATCTCCACAAAAACCTGTTTGTTCTGGGATTGGGTCCTCTGCCATCCTCACAGGCTTACTCGGAACAAAATGGAGGGCAGACAGGTGACATCTGATGAAAAAATTTTAACAACCCCATTATGTGCTGGACTGTACATGCGATTATGTGCACATGCAAATATCTCAATATAAAATATAAGCAGATTCACATGTGTGTATATGACGTTCAGCGCATAATGGAGTGATTTTTTTAAAAAAAATTCTGCTAGATTTTTTCCTTCTATCAATTGTTTATTCAAGCTCTAATTAATATTATAAAGTTTAAAATAGTTTCAGAGAGTTCCAATTGCTCATCATTCGTGCTTCCTTTAAATCAGCTGTGTGTCCATTAAACAGCCCAATCAGCTGATCAGCTGTTTCAGATTTTTTAAAAAGTGGACGTGTGCTGGAGGATCTCCACTGGGGGTGGGGAGAGAAAATTACATGGGTTTTCTTGGAGTGCAGGGATATGCAGTGATGCAAATATGCACATTTTAAAGCCAGAACTGGCATAAAAGGGCATCTTTTTACCCTGTGTTTTTCTTCTGCTGTAGCGAATCAGCGTGGATCTGCCAGTAGCATCATGTAGCCAGTTCCCTTTTAACCCAGGGGTCTGCAATGGATTGGTTCTTTGAACTGACCAACGACCAGCCATTGTTCTTGCTTCCACAAGAACCTCCTCCTGCAGATTGTAATGTCAAGGGAACCCCTGGACAATCTAGGTGCAGATCCTAACCTAACTCTTTTCAGCCAATCAGGGGAGAGAGCAGGAAGTCTGAATAGTTGTCAGAACTGTATAAAATGTTATGTATTTCTCTATGAATTTATGTTTGTACCTTTTGAAGCAAATTGCTTGTACTTGCATCCTTTTTGGACAAACAGTAATATACCTCTGTGGTTTTGCCTTTAAACTGGGAAGCTTGTTTCTCTGTACTGGCTGATCTGGTTTAGCAGATGTTTGCCGGGCAAAGATCTCTTAACCGTGGTCCTAGCTGAAATTACTACATTATCAGACTAATCTTACTAAACTATTGCCATGTCCCAGACACACCGAAAACCCACAAGATCACATAGCCTATAAGGGAAATGGTTAATGATGGCAATATGATCCCTGTATCTGCAGGACAAGCATGCACGGTTTCCTATGTGTCAGCTACTGGCTTCACGCATTGAAGATCATGGGGGCAGCAATCCAACACATATGGGCTGGATCTACACTGCCATGTAATGTAGTTTGGAACTGCATTATGTCGTTAATATAGAGTCGTATAATTCCATTTAACTGCAGTGAACTGCCATAGAGTGCAGTGGGTTGACAAAAGCAGCATTCAGTTCTGAGAATTTGAGATTCAGGGGAAAAAATGGTGGAAAAATATTGTGCAATTTGCTTTTCTGGTCTATTTGGCTCCAAAAAGAAACCTGCAAGATCTTTAGCAAATGTTATTTTTTTAAAAAAAAAAACTCTGTAATACTCATGCTCCTTCTAATCACTGCACTTCCAAAATTAGCAGCTGCAAAGAAAATGAAACAAATGGGGCTCTAAGTGGTATTACTGCAGTAGCGGGTACTTTAGCCTGCAAGCACTCAAAGCCATTAGTATGACTCATTGCAACTACACAAACCACTTTGAAAACTGCCCAGAGTAATCAAGCATCAAGTAAGATTCCTGCATTTCAAACCTAATCACACTGGCTCCAGTCCAAAAATTGCTAGACAACAGAGTGTTATAAGTTATTAGTAAGAATTCAAAGGCATCACCATGCTACTTTGGATTACTAAGCATAGGGATCTTGCAGTACCTTTGATACTAGAAATTGATAGCACAAGCTTTGGTAGACATAAGCCTACTTCATCAGATGCGTGAAGCAAAGTGCCTAGGATCAGATCTTTATAGATATGAATGTGTGTGGAAATGGCAATAGAATTACAAGACTTGTGGGTATGATGATGAAATGACAACTTCTGTTTTATCCATAGCTGTTAGGAGACAGGAGAAAATATGTTGTTTAAGGCCAAATGGGTTAGGGGCATAGGGCCCCTGAGAAAATGGAAAAACCACAAACAAACACTTTTTTTTTACCTGAAAGAATACTATCTATAGCTACTTCATCACACTGGAGAATGAATCCACTTTAAATCCGGTTCCTGCCTCCTGCAGAATTCTGAGGTTTGTAGTTTAGTGAGCCTGTTAATGTCTCCTCCCTAAACTACAAACCACAGAATTCTGAAGGAGGCAGAAACTGGATTTAAAGGGGCTTCATTCTCTAGTGTGACGAGGTCTTCCATCAGGGTCAACTTCTGACAGAGATTCCTAGAGAGAATATTTTCATCGGGTCTTTGAATAATCAAATCCATAAAAGTCAACCCCACAAATGTGGATGGCTGACTGTATATGAATGCTGGAAGTTATAGCAATGTAGTGTGATGCTGCCTGGGAACCAGAAAGTAGATGTGGTAAACTGCTTAAGAGAGCCCTCATGAGGCTGGAGTGTTAACAAGCATTGAAGACCCAAGTTTTAGTGATGGCTCAAGGAACCTTTGCACATTCAAAACCTGAAAGCCAAGTGTGTCTGAGATTGTGAATCTGGCTAGTGTGGCACATGCCTTAGTTAAGTCTACTTGGGGCTGCATTCAAAGAATATGTGGAAACTTCAGATGATCCAAGGAGCTGCAGCTAACTGGAGTTGGCTACAGCGAACACATATCTCCCCTGTTGCAACAGCTCCACTGGATGCCAGTGTGTTTCCAGGCACAATTCAAAGTACTGGTGATGACCTATAAAGCCCAATGTGGCTAATGTCCAGGCCATTTGGCAGATCATGTCTCCTAGTTAATCCTGCCTGGGCCCTGAGATCTTCAGGAAAGACCCTTCTCTCATTCCTAGAACATTGAAAGCTCAGGTGGTGGGGACCTGAAAAGGGGCTTTCATGGTGGCTCCTGGACTCTGGAACTCTAAATTGTATTTCTAAATGCTCTGCTAAAATTTAAAGGGCCCACAATGCCAGAAATTTGTGGACTGAAGAAAAATGATATTTGGGAGCAGGATTCTCATTTGCAAAGGGTTATGCATGGAAACAATATGGAAAGAATAAGGATAAGTTCCTGCATCACAAAAAATAATGTTGCTCATTTTTGTTTCAGCAACTTTTAAAAATTCAGATGTAACTATATGAAATATAGGTACAATGAAACAACTGGGTCAGAGAAACCTTGTTATAAGAAAATGAAGCCATTTTGAGCCTTTTTAAAGCCTTTCCCCTCCTTTGTTCACCAGTCTCTCTTTTCTAATGATTTGTAACATCAGCTGAGCATTTAGAAATACAACGTAGACATTCAAACGGTGCAGGAAATCGTACCAAGGGGACGTGAATCCAGCAAATGTAAGAGTTTTAAGTGTGAACAGTTCCCAATGCCTCACTCTCTGGAATGAGAGAAATGTGGGAACTGAAGGAAATACTTATCTTTGGAGCAACAATTCTTTTCGGGGGCAATGCCCCCCTCTCACTCCCACCTCCATAATTATATATCTGCATAGAAGTTAGTGAGTCACATTCACAAACCTAACACATGGAGAAGGCAGATTTCTGAATCTACTTTCGCACAGAGAGCCTCAAATCCCGCAGTTTAGGTTAGTATTGACTCTTCACAGTGGAAGCAACTGTACAAATAAAAAGTTACTCCCTCTTCCTATAGTAAAAGTAATCATGGTACTAAGTGTGCTAAAAGGCCTGTAATACTATAGTAGAGATTGTAAGGTTCTACTCTACAAAGCCAACTTTATCTAAACACAAATACATGCAAATAATATACTAGGACCCTATTTGGGTCCCAAGAAAGGAAGCATTCTTATTTAGCACATTCAGTTAATGAAAGAAGTGTCTGTAAAGAACAGATACAATTTGCTTTCACTGGTCCTTGCATGGTTGCAATGCAGTTTTTTTGGGCAGATATCCAGTTTGGCCCAATCTTCAAGCAGGCTATGCCAGAAAAAAGTGAAGCAAGAGAGAGTACAGTCCAAGGACTCAGGGACAAGTGTACTCATCAATGCACCACGTATGATCCATTTGGAAGAATTTATGGGACACAATCGCTCTCTCCTACAAGCACAACAGCAAGACTGTATCTCCAAATTGCTAGCATTGGACAGCCTCTCTATATTATTGCCACTTGTCATCAAGTATTGTATATCTAATTGCAGTGGATACTCTCTACATCAGTGGTTCCCAACCTTTGGTCCTCTAGGTTTTTTGGACTTCAGCTCCCACAATTCCTAACAGCTGGTAAGCTGGCTGGGATTTCTGGGAGTTGAGGGGTTTGAGGGGACTGACTCACCATAGTGGGAGTTGTAGTTTACCGTACAGCCAGAGGGCACATTGAACCCCACCTATGATGCATCTAGAGCAAATTTGCCCAACATAACAAACCTTGAGTACTGATGGAATTTCTCGTGGTTAACCTGGCATGATGGGAGCTGTAGTTCACCCACAACCTTATGCATTTTGTACAGTTTAAACACTGACTTTTTCAAATAACCCGGACAACACTGGGTACCCAAGTTAGTAATATATACAAAAGAACAACCCCTTTTAAAGCCCCTCCTTCCACAAGAATGATAAGCCAAAGCCCTGTTTGAATAAAAAAGATTTCACCTGCTAGCAGAAAAAGAAGAGAGAGCCAAGCAAGACTTGCACGGAAAGAAATTCCACAACCTGGAAGCTGCCACCAAGAAGGCTGCTTGTCATGGAATCACAGAACTGGAAGAGACCGCAAGGGCCATCCAGCCCATATCTTCACTAAACATCATTGTGATGATGGTGAGCCTAATAGAAAGATAATAGGATTATACTGGGACATATAGGAAGAGAGACAATCCCTTGGAACTTCTTATTATTGGCCATGTGACAGTTGTAATCCAAAACATCCAGTGGAGCAAAGGTTTCTAGTAGGGCTGGGCGGTTTCATTCGTTAATTTCGTAATTCGTTATTGATTCGTATTTAAATTAGCGTACGATCCAAAATTGAGCCATGCAGGAGCAACTAAAAATCAAAACAAATTTTTCAATTTATTTCGTAATTGTTTCGTAATTGGTTCGAAATCGTTTCGAAATCATTTCGAAATTATTTCGTTATTATTTCCGTATGTCTGGTGCAAGTTTTATAGTTGTTGTTTGTTTTATCAGTGATAAAAAAATAAATTATCACACCAACAGTCAACAACAGAGGGAGAGGGAAGCTTCAGAAGTTCCCCCTGTCCCATTTGGAGGTTTTTTTAGCGTATTGCGCAATCGCGTCCGCCATTAACAAATCAATTCGAAATTTACGAAATTTCGTAAATAACGAAAAAAATTTAAAGAAAAATTCGGAATTCTTTTAAAAAACGAAACGCAATGGACCCCCTAAAAACGAAACGAGTTTAGAAACAATTTTTTCCGTTGTTACCCAGCCCTAGTTTCTAGCACTTACACAGTGAATCCATTGTTCCAGCCTCAGAATGTGGCAATAACAATCAGGAAAGCGTCTTGTTTCCTATCTTTAAATCATGTTCAAGGAATCAGCACAGGTACAAAATATCTTCTTTCCCCAGATCTACTTTCCAAACAAACCCTGCATCCCTGTTTTCCAATGTGTCTGAACTCTCAAAAATAATCTTTGGGGAACAGGAAAAAAACACAGAAAGTATGTTTGCCACCAAACTACTGTTTTTGAAAAATGCACTACAAATATAAAATATAACAGATGATGTGTGGGCCAGAAGCAAAATGGCAGAGACTATAAATGAAAGGTCACTGCCTGAAAACATCAAAACATTGGCATTTAGTGAGTCTTGGCTCTGTAGCACTGAAATGTGTTTCAGTTCAGAAGACTCTGTCACTATTTAACTCTGCTCACATGTAAACATTAAGCCTGTACACTGGGATGAAATGTCCTTATTACAGTTATTTCTCCTTTTCCTTGTCTTTGGTACTCTAGTAGCAATTTCCTTGTACAACATTGCCCATAGCTCAGTAGTACATGATCCAAAGTTCAATCACTGATCCTCTATTCAGTATCTCAGGGAGTTGCTGCCAATGTAAGTAACTCAGAATAAAGTACCTGCTATTCTAGACAAATGGTTCTAAATAATGAACCCCAGACTCACATACTTCCTTATCCTTCTCATAGAATCACAGAACTGGAAGGGACTACAAGGGCCATCCAGCCCAACCCCATTTTCCCATGTAGTAACACACAATCAAAGCGCTCCTGACAAATGGCCATTTAGCCTCTGCTTAAAAATCTCCAGAGAAGGAGACACCATCAGCATATTCCACTATTGAACAGCTCTTCGCATCGGAAGTTTTTTCTAATGTTTAGATGAAAACTATTTTCCTGAAATTTGAATCCATTGCTTCAATCTTGCACCCTTCTCAATGTGACATCCTTTCAAATATTTAAACATAGCTATCATATCCCATCTCAACCTTCTTGTTTCCAAGCTGAACATCCCTAAGCCGCTCCTCATAGGGCTTGGCTTCTTTAGTGCAAAGTAATTAGTACTATCCACTGTCATTTTAAATTAACTGCAGATTTGCTTCTTACCGGAGCACAGACCAATAGCTAATTTTAACTAAAGCCAGCCAAGAATATTTACTATTCTTGTATACCGCTGTATCTCAAGCCCGAGGGCGACTCACAGCGGTTTATAGTTTATAGTTAAGACTAACCACAGTGAGCCTAGGCTCAAAGAATGCATCAATCTGTGAATATGACATCAAAGAGAAAGCTTTCAAACTCCTTCTCAGTCATACTGGAAAAAGGAGAAGAAAAAACCCATCATAATGAGGTTTGGTGTGGCTCATGTTCTTATCACAATCCTATGGTTTAATATTATACCTATCTGAGCCTAATGTTCAACCATTATGACTGCCTCTGATTCAGATTACCATCTTCTTATAGAAGCTTGGATAAAACTAGCTGATGCCATAACAGGCATCATACCTTCAAGATCAAAGCTGCAAAATTATCATGAAATGGAACCAGATTGCACGACTTATTCACATTATTATGCATTTATAATGCCTTGAACCTAAACCTGTACTTTTCTCCAAATAACACGTTTCCCCAATGCTCTCCATTCCCAATCAGCATACATATGAATTAATGCAACACGGTAAAAACATTAAGGCCACTTCTACACAGCTGTATAAAATCCACATTGAACTGGATTATGTCGCAGTGTAGACTCAGATAATCCAGTTCAAAGCAAATATTGTGAATTACCTACCTTGATATTCTGGGTTATATGGCTGTGTAGAAGGGTTTACTTATCTGTTCAGACAATGCACTTACAGAATGGTGGAAAGGAAGAAAGTACAATACAATAAAAAGAGAGCAACCTTGATATCCTGCACTGCAGACATAGACCATAAAGTTATTGTCCCATATCCCCATAAATTCAATCTACCTGTTTTCAGGTTGCTTCATCTTGCTATGCTATTTTTAAATATTTAAACATGGTTATCATTCTCCTTTTCTTCTCCAGGCTAAACATGTCCAGTACCCTAAACCACCACTCATCATAGAGCATAGTTTCCATAACTTTTCAATTTTGGTCACTCTCCTCTTGACATATCCTTCCTGAATTGTGGTGCCCAGAACTGGACACAGGATTCCAGGTGAGATCTTACTAAAATATAATAGAGAGATGTTAATATTTCCCTCAATTTCATTCTGCCAGAGAGGACCCTGGGAGGTCAACCTTTTTTTTCTGGGGGGAAGAAACACAGGAATGAAACAGTCCCTCATTTTCTCCCTCCCCCATCCTCTCCAATCCATAAAATGACCACTAGGAGGAACACCCAATGAAAAATGGGTAAATGGCTTGGAGAAGTAGTTGATTGGGATGGAGAATTTCTCCACCTGCCATAACCAGAAAAGTTATATACAAAGGCCTGCAAATATCACCAATAGGATGTCAGCCCCAAACTGGAAGACATGTTAGGGCAACAAATTATATCTATAATGATAAGTGCTTGTTTTACCCAACTGTCAATATGAACACGTTGTTTTTAAAGTTGTTCTTTGGGGGGTTTTGCAATAGGAAGTCAGTGTCTCTGTCCATTCAAGGTGACCATGCTTGTTGGGAGATTCTGACAGCTGTAATCCTGAAAAGTTACTTTTCCCAGCTCAGACAAATTTACAATAAAATCATATTATAGACAATGCCTGGAATTTTAGGAACAGTAAAAGTTCAAACACATATCAGTCATCCTAACCCTGAGGGAAACATTTTCCACTTTTGCAAAAGTAATTTTGTTTTGAAACCATTATAATTGCTTTCTGGATAAAGGTCTCTGTGAATTGATTAGTATAGATTCATGAGTGGAGTGCTACCTGCTCTCTTACTGGCCAACAAATTGTGGAAATGACAAAGCAAATGCCAGAATGCAACCAATCTGCAATATGACAACTCTCCAATAACATAGTATGCTTGTCCTTCTTTTATATGTCTCAAATTCATCATCATCATAATTACTTATTAATCGCCCTCCATCCGAGAATGCTCTAGGCAATTTACAAGCTAAATTGTAAAAGATAAAATACATACATACAGAAATTAAAAATTAACAGAGATCAATTCACTCTGCAAATCTAACACCCTGGGACTATCATTGCCTAAACTCTGAAAACAAATAACAGGCCAACTGATATTGCTTCTTCTCACTACTGCACACTGCAGCTCAGCTGTGAAGAAACGTGTCCCAGACAAATCCTGTGCATTACATTAGTGATATTCATTTCCCCATTGTATAAGTCATTTCCCTCTTTTACAACTTAAATGTTTAGTCATGCTACTCAGCCCCTCCCTCCCACATCTCTTTAAGGCAGCATACTGTTATTTCCACTTCACAGATGAAGCGTAAAGATGTAAGAACAAGAAAAAAGCCATCTGCCATGTGAATGCATAAGTCCTTCTCAAAGGGTTTTAGCTGTGGGGTATACAGGTGACTTTCCTCTTACTCTTATTACCTTGGCTGGGGATCCCACCCCAAGCCATTCTGCAACTGGAAATTCATAAGTGAAGTGTTATCTCAAGCAGAAACTGGAGTTAAAATTGTAGATTCCTAGTTCTTGTTGTGTGGCTTTGAGTTGTTTCCAACCAGATGACTTTAAGGTGAACATGGGGGGGGGGGGGGGGGGGGGGGGGGAGAGAGAGAGATTTTGAGTGCACCTATCCTGGAGAATTTATGCAGTTAGATCCCATTTTTGCTGCCATGGCTTAATGCTATGGAATCCTGAAATGTGTAGTTTAGTGAGGCACCAAGCACTCTTTGGCAGAGAGGACTAAAGATCTTGCAAAACCACAACTCCCATGAATCCACAGCACTAAGCCATAGCAGTTAAAGTATCAACATGCATTAATTATACAGTGTACATGCACCCTTATTTAGGAGAGTGTGAGTTGCCTTTGCCTTACTCTGAGATTGACAAAGCGTAACTTGCCCAAGATCAGTGCACATTTTCACAGCTCTAGTCTCCACTTGACATGTGATTCCTACGGGAACCTTGTCTGCAGCATGGTTATATGAATAGCGTAAGAGATGTACAACAACATAGCTAAGGGAAACTTTCCTACTCAGGGCTCTAGTCAACTTAGAACAGGGCCCTTTGAGTGCTGGTTGGCCATGGTGAGAAGGGAATCGAGAAAGATTTAGGAAAGAAATGAAAAGGATCAGAGCACACTCTTCTACCATGGAATGGCTTTACCCACCCTTTCCTTCAAGGGTCCCTCCAGACAGACCCTGTATCCCAGGATCTGATCCCAGGTTTTTTGCTTTAA